ATATATATATATATATATATATATATATATATATATATATATATAAATAATTATTAATAACAAATTATATAATACATTATTATTATTGTAATATCATTGAACAAAATTATTATTAAAAACAATCTCATTATTAAAAAAAAATTGTGAAAATATGAATATATATATATATATATTATTATAACAACAATTATACAATCAATTATTATTATTATTATTAAACAAAATGATGAAAAATAAATAACCATAAAGTAAAAAAAAAAAAAAAAAAAAAGTATTTATAAAATAAATAAATTAAAATAAATATGATAAGAATATTTTATGGTACAGTTTATTGTAACTTATTACAAGTGTTACAAATTATTACGCGTTACGTACACTGTACGGACAAATTTAAATACAAATATTTATGGCTTAATTTTCTAAATGTCTTAAATGTTCAAACGTTAACCTTTATTCTGATTGAAAACGGCAGGGTTTTAAAGCACGAAGCCCTATTGCGATTAATTGTGCCGCCCTCCATTATGGTACAGTTTATTGTAAATTATTACAAGTGTTACAAATTATTAAGTGTTACGTACTGTACGGAAAAATGTAAATACAAATATTTATTAATTTTCTAAATGTCTTAAATGTTCAAACGTTAACCTTTATTCTGATTGAAAACGGCAGGGTTTTAAAGCACGAAGCCCTATTGCGATTAATTGTGCCGCCCTCCATAAAGCTGAATAATACGCTGGATAACCTAAAAGAAATCGTCACCATTTACAGGAAAATTAAACAAATTATAATAATCATGTCAACTACCCATTTTGCAGTTCACAGCTTGTGTTTAGAGTTCACACGGACATGCAGCTTTGCCAACAATGAAGCGTTTAATATCACCGGCCCGTGACTGACCGCTCAGACTGGTGCGAACAGCCAATCAGAAGCTGCAGAGCTGATTGGTCGAGCAGCAGGAAGTGAGGAATCGGGCTCGAATCCCAAAAGTCTAAACGCTCCGCCACACGCCACCTCTTTAAGAGAGACTGGACGCGCAAGGGGTCAGAAGCTCGCCAATCATTAATAGCTTCAATAAAAGCTGGACTGCAGTGGAGGCTAGAGTAAACCCAGCAGTCGGACCCCTTCAGTCCAGCACTGCAGAGAGCAGCGCGCGAGCCAGAGGAGACTTTTGCATTGGAGCCGCGTTAGAGCCGGACAGGCTGATGTTCTTACCGGACGCTCCCATATCTCTATGCATTTCACTAGGAGGGCTTTCCGTTTCGCACCTGGGACGAGTCTTTCTCAGATGGAAACCCTTGCGAATGTCGGCCAGAAGCTGATCGATGATGCAGCCGTCGTCCTGCGGAGCCGCGCCTCGACGGACTGACAGAACACACATTTCTTATGATATATAACATTCATTAGCATTTCATTAACATAATTAAATAAAAACGACTTGCATTTGAATATGAATCAATACCAAAATATTTTTATTTTAATTAAAAATAGCTTTTAATATTAAATGAAATTTAATTTAATATATAAAAGAAATTTTCATTTAAATTAATTAAATTAATATTAGTTAACAATAACAATAGTTTTTCAAGAAAACAACTTTAATTTTATGTAATGTAACTTAATATTAAAATATTACAATATTAAATAAAGAGTTTTTTAGTTAATTAAACATTACGGTGAACTTAACGATTTCTTGGTAAAATATTGCAATCTTAATTAAAGTTTTATATTTAACTATTAATTAAAACATTTTAATATTACTTAAAAATAATTTTATAATATTAAAAACAACTTTAACTATATAAATGTAATATTAGATAAACATTAGATTAATTAAAATGACTTTATTAAATATTAATATATTTTATTTAATATTACAATATTTTACTTTTTAACTAAAAAATTACTACTTATTAAATTACTATTTAAAATATTTTTTTAATTAAACACTTTAATATTACACTTAATATTAAGTATAATTACTATTTTAATATTAATTAGAAAACATTAGCTTTTAATTAAAAATGACTAACTATTAATCAATATTAAAATTGTAGTTTCTAATGAACTAAAAACAAATATTACTTATTAAAATATTGTAATATTAATCAAAACATTGGTTTTAAATTCCTTAAAACACTTTAATGTTAAATTAATAATGAATATTAAAACGTAATTTGTTTAATATTAAATGACTTTAATATGCACTATATTTTAATATTTATAAGAAATCATTCATTTTTATTTAAAACAACTTTAATAATAAGCATTACTTAACATTAAAATATTTTACTATTAAAGGTTTTAAATATTAAAAACAACTTTAACATTGTTTTTAATAAAAAATAAGTTAAATTTAGTTTAATGTTTTTAATTAATATAGACTTGATTAATATTAAAATACTGTAATATTAAATCAAAACATTAGTTTTTAAATAAATTAAAAATGACTTTACCATTTTAATAATTCAAAAACTCAAACTTAACGAATATGAAAATATTGTAATATAAAAAATATTAGTTTATTATTAAAAACAACTATTAACTATATTTAATATTTTATTATTAATTACAAAAGTTGTAAAACGATTAAAATGACTTTAATAGTAACTATTAAATAATTAAAATATTTTAATATTAAAGTTTTTAAATATTAAAAACTACTTTAAACCAACTTTAACAACAATTTATTACAAACTAATGTTTTTAATTAATATAGACTTGATTAATATTAAAATACTGTAATATTAAATCAAAACATTAGTTTTTAAATAAATTAAAAATGACTATTAACTACCATTTTAATAATTAAAAAACTCATATTAAACTTAACGAATATGAAAATATTGTAATATAAAAAATATTAGTTTATTATTAAAAACAACTAATATTAACTATATTTTATTATTAATTACAAAAGTTGTAAAACGATTAAAATGACTTTAATAGTAACTATTAAACAATTAAAATATTTTAATATTTTATGAAATATTTTAATATTAATGAAAAACATTGAAACATTAATTGATCACTGATGCAGCTATTGTTTTTCTGACTGAAAACAGATTTAACCCGATTGCTGCTTGATGAAGATCTGTATTCTCCAGCGACCGGAAGAACGGAGCACGAGCCGAGTCACGGACAGGAATGGTTTGTTAGGACTCACTTATCTTCCCGTCTTCTCCCTTCTGTCTCTTGGACTCCTCCTCCACCAGCTGCTGCTTTCTTTTCTCGGCTTTGGCCGCTTGTTCTTTACGGAGCTTGTTTTCCTGCAGAAGAAGAATCAGAAAGAGCTTTATTGCCACGTATGTTTGCACATACAAGGAGTTTGTTCTAGTGTCACAAGCTTCCAGTACACGGAGACAACAACAACACACAGATAATAAAAGTGAGATGTGAATAAAATACACATGCATAAATATAAACCACAAAAAAAGAATAAAGTGTATGTACAGGTGTGCTATAGATGGAATAGGAATAGAATAAAATAAAATAAGTTGTAGGGCTTCACTAGGAACCACATTTCCTGACCTCCGAGACATGAACACCACTCAACAGTGTTATTTTATTATTAATAATATGCCGTTATAATTTCTATTCATTTTATTTTAGAATTTTTCATATTCTCTGTTTCAAACGAGTTTAAGTTTTAATATTTTGCTGAGTGTTTTTGTCATTTTTATTACTATTCTATTTATATTTTATTATGTCCATTTAATTTTAATTTCAGTTTTAGTTATTTTAGTACTTCAACTTAAACGTAATGTAATGTCTCTTATATTTTCAGTTAACAAAGTAATTATGCATTAAAAATGACTTTAATATGACATTTTAATTTGCATAAAAATATTTTAAAATGAAAAAGATTAGGGTTTTAACATTAAAAACAACTCATTTTAAATTAACAATATTTTTATATTTAAAAAGTAAATATGTAACTTAATATTAATTAAAAATGGTTTTTAATATTAAAACTACTTTAATAATAAATATCATTATTTTAATTATCTTATTTTAATATCAGTTTTTAAATAAATGACTAACTATTAATATTAGATAATAATGGTTTTATTAGTAAAAAACTTCAATATTAACTATAGTTATTTTAATAATATTATTAATTATTTAATACTATTTTTATTTTAATATGATTAATTTAATACTATTTTAATATCAATTAAATTATTAATTCGCAGTTTTTAGTTAAAATGAATAATATTAACTATTAATCAATGTTAAAGTATTAATTAAAATAATTAATTTAAAATTTGTTATTAAAAACAACTTTAGTATTAATTATAAGTAATGTTAATATTAATTACAAAAACATTTGTTTTTAAGTAATTAAAAACAACTTAACTATTACTTAAGTATTAGTTTTTGACAAAAACCCCCCCCACTTTAATATTAAATAATGCCATTGTTTTTAATAATAAAATAAACTTTAATATGACTAAACTATTAATTTTAATATAAATAAAAATTGTTTAATATTATAAAACTATATTCTGGTCTTCAATGTGTCTCACTTCTCGGTTTGGTCCTCATCTGAGCCGAAGCCTTTATGAACCCAATATTAGGGACGTAACGATTAACCGCGAGCCGGTTGAAAATCTATAAAAAAAATGAATAAAAAGCGTTGCTTTGTTTACAGCGGTAACCAAGGAAACGCTATCAGTGCTGTTCATAAGCGCAGCTCTGCTTTGTTTACAGCGGTAACCAAGGAAACGCTATCAGTGCTGTGTTCATAAGCGCATATCCGGAATGCTGAATCCCTGATCATTTTCAAGCGACTCATCTCTTTCGAAGCTACTTGACTTCATCATAAAAAAACAAAAAAACAATTCTCTCTTTATTTATTCCTTCTCTTTCTAGCTTGTACTTATTTGAACAATGTCTAAGAACTTGGTATTACAACCACTTCTTGTGTCTGTTTGCCTCTTTAAGAAGAATCACTTTATGTATCCCCCAATTTTAAGTCGTTTTGGATAAAAGTGTCTGCTAAATGACTAAATGTAAATGTAAATGATTGCTGTTCATAAGTGCAGCGCTGCTTTGTTTACAGCGTTAACCAAGCAAACTCTTTATGCGCCACCTGCTGGCAGAGCTTTTATCCAAAGCTACTAACAAATGAGGACAATAAAATTTAATAATACTAATTAATAATAATAATAATAATTTATGCATTTAGCAGACGCTTTTATCCAAAGCGACTTCAGGTTATCACGACAAAGCGTGCATTCAGGTTATACATTTTTTTACCAGTATGTGTGTTCCCTGGGAATTGAACCCATGACCTTTTGCGCTGCTAACGCAATGCTCTACCACTCGAATCGAGAGTTGAGTGAATCGTTACATCCCTACCCAATATAATGAGTTTATTATGCGTGTAGTAACGGCTCACGCACCTTCAGGGCTTTGAGGAAGAGCTGGCGAAAGGTCTTGATGTTGCTGAAGAGCTCGTCGAGCGAGAGCTGAGCCACGTCTTCACACAGATACTGAGCCAGATCGCCCTTTCTGTTGTCCACGTTAGTGAAACGCTCGTCTAGAGCTGCACAATCCGTCAGGTTCTTCTGCACAAACACCACAGGAACATTCAAGAACAACAACAAAGCTGGAAAGAGAAATGGTCTTCAGATTAAACCAAGCGCAACCTCCCGCTCTCTCTCGTGAAGCCAACACGGAAGTGACTAAAACTGTAATTCATCGACTGGCCGCTAGAGGCTGGCTGCAAAAGAGAGTCAGTCCCATAGACCCCCCATGTTAAAATGCCCAACTTTACAGCAGAAAAAAACATGTTTACAGCCGGTTTCAAAAAATTATTTTGGTCTGTATAGCTAATTTTGCCCTTCATGACAACTGTGAGGGCGTGCATTTTTTTTATAACTCATCTGTTTAAATTATATAAAGCCTTAAAGTTCTGTATAATTAAGGGCGTGGCCACTTGAGTGACAGGTGGATTGCCGCTGGTGTCACCACCGTCGAGCTAGGTGGGCGTGGCTTCAGCAACCTGCTCCCGCCTCTTTGCCCATTTTCGATTATCCGGGAGTGACGCGCTGCCAAGATGGCGACGGCCGGCTCCGCCTACTTTAGGCTTCAAAAGCGCTCTTCGGAAACCTACGGGTGACGTCACGGACACTACGTCCATGTTTTTATACAGTCTATTGGTTAAACATGCGTCTGTACCTCAATAAGCACTGAAAACTGCTGCTTGACGTCCTCGAGTGACGAAGAAACTTTCTTCTCCGCGTCTCTCAGTCGCTTCAGAAGATGACTGGTTTCGGCCCGAATAGAGTCCAGATTTACGCTGAAAGAATTATTGAAAAGTGATTGAGAAAAGACCGAAACAACAGCTGATCTTGAGACACACACACATATATTTTTGTTGCATAATTCCAAATAAATAGAAATAAAGTTTCACAAACATGAACATTCGCAAATATATTTTTACGCCACAAACAAAACTTTGCCTGGCATTCATTTGTGAATCGCGTTCTGTGCATTTATAGATCATAGGATCACTCGCCAATGCATCGCCATTCTCTCTTCAGCGATTCAGAATCGATTCTGAGCTTGGTTCGAAACTCACGCTCTGACAGACTTTCACGTTTGCTTTGTTTGTCCTGAAGCTCGATTGCAGCTGCGGTTAAATGCACTTGCATCCCAGAATACTTTTATGATACGAAATTGATGTAAACACTAGGAGTGGGACGGAAAGAAACAAACCGATATGGCGATTTAGAAATCAGAAAGAGCTTTACACACACACACACACACACACAAGGAATTTATCTTCCAGTGCACAGACAGGTTGACGAGTGACAAGACACCGATAACGAAATAAAAATAAGCGAGTACAAATAAACATGTAAAAACAATACACAATAGACAGTATGTACAGATGTGCTAATATGCAAGGGAAGGTGTATAGATAAGGTATATTAAATCAATAACATACGTTTATTAAATATAAGTATAGATAGTTGGATATTGCACATGTTTTATTGCACAGTAGGGAGAACATTTAACTGTTCATGAGGTGTTATATAACGGTTATCGCGATATTTCTGGTCGCGAGACGCTGTGTGTTTCTAGGCGAAAGCAAAAGCACTTTATTTGGTCTTCCGGAAGTAGATGCATTTAGGAATCTTTAAGATCACTTACAACAGAACAGCAATGCATTTTATGGACGACCGTTTCGTGAAGCTAGGAGAGGAGGTCATTCTGACTTTGCTATGACAATCTGGCGCTTCTGAATCAGCTACTGTTTTGTTATTAGTTTAAGTATTTGCTATTGACTGTTCAAATGCGGAGTTTTGCGTATCGTTTGTGTGTGTGTGCGAGAGAGAGAGCGAGAGGGTCACACACAGTGGAGTCAGCTGTCTTAACCGCGGCTTGTGTACTGCATCATCACTGTGTCTGTCTCGTGACTCTGTTCTCCTTTTAGGCTTGAACTGATGGTAAAACTAATGACATTCTGACTCCAAGCTTTTGAATGGTTTAGTGTGTAATGTTACAAAAGCTTTTTATTTCAAATAAATGCTGATCTCTGGATCTTTCTATTCATCAATGAATCCTGACAAAATGTACTCAACTGTTTTAAATATTGATAATATTAAAAAATGTTTATCAGCATATTATACTGATTTCTGAAGATCATGTGACACTGAAGACTGGAGGAATGATGCTGAAAATACAGCTTTGAAATGACAGGAATAAATTTAAAGTCATGTCAAATTTAACACTGTGGCTTGGTTTGATTCACAGTCTAATGGTCTAACGATAATGGTCTGTTATTGTACCAATTTTTATGGCCCTTATATTTCCTATTTGAGGCAATGCATAGGAATAAAGTTATTTCAGGACAAGTCGGCCTTGATTGTAAAGCAAAACGTGCTACGATTGGTCAGCGAAGTGTGGCTGTTATCTGATTGGCTTGAGCAGATGGTGGGCGGAGTCACGCATTTGTGGATTTGTCAGCATCTTGACGCCAGAAATGTTTCAAAATCCACAAATGAATGCCAGGCAAAGTTGTGTTCGTGACATAAAAAACATTCACAAATCTTTTTATTTGCAAATCTCATTTTATTTATTTGTGAATTTAATTCACATTTGTGAAACTCATTCTGTTTATTTGTCAGCGTTTAATGTTTGTTAACCTCTTTACATTTATTTGTGGATCATAATCTATATCTCAACACACAAACACACGCACTCACACTCTCACACACACACTCACTCACACTGTCTCGCACACACGCACATACACATACACACTCACACTCACACACACACTCTCTCACACGCACACACTGTCTCTCACACTCACATACACACTCACACACGCGCACACTCACACTTGCTCGCACACACACACACACACACGCACACACAGACACACCCACTCACAGACACACTCTCTCAGTCACACACACACACACACACACACATACACACTCTCTCACACACTCACACTGTCTCGCACACACAGACACACTCACTCACACTGTCTCGCACACACTCTCGCACACACACTCACACTCCCTCGCACACACACTCACACTCCGTCTTGTACGTGCACGCACACACAGACACACTCACTCATACTCCGTCTTGCACGTGCACACAGACACCCCCAAACACACGCGCACTCACACACACAGACACGCACACAGACGCACCCACACACACAGACACGCACACAGACGCACCCACACACACACACACACACACACACACACACACACACAGACAGACAGACACAGACACAGACACAGACACAGACACAGACACAGACAGACAGACAGACAGACACACAGACGCACCCACACAAACACACAGACGCACCCACACCCTCACAGACACACACTCACTCACACTGTCTCGCACACACACTCACACTCCCTCGCACACACACTCACACTCCGTCTTGTACGTGCACGCACACACAGACACACCCACTCATACTCCGTCTTGCACGCGCACACAGACACCCCCACACACACGCGCACTCACACACCCACAGACACGCACACAGACGCACCCACACACACACACACACAGACGCACCCACACAGACGCACCCACACAGACGCACCCACACAGACGCACCCACACAGACGCACCCACACAGACGCACCCACACAGACGCACCCACACAGACGCACCCACACAGACGCACCCACACAGACGCACCCACACAGACGCACCCACACAGACGCACCCACACAGACGCACCCACACAGACGCACCCACACAGACGCACCCACACAGACGCACCCACACAGACGCACCCACACAGACGCACCCACACAGACGCACCCACACAGACGCACCCACACAGACGCACCCACACAGACGCACCCACACAGACGCACCCACACAGACGCACCCACACAGACGCACCCACACAGACGCACCCACACAGACGCACCCACACAGACGCACCCACACACACACACACACACAGACACACACACAGACACACACCCTCACAGACACACACCCTCACAGACACACACTCACACACTGTCTCACACACACACACGATTCACTGTTTTACCCGGCTGCTTTCTCACAGGCCTCGATGTCGTCTGTAAGCTTCAGCAGCTCTGGATGGTTTAATTCAGCTTCCTGGAAACCAGAAGATCCACAGACATTCACCACTAATCATAGAGAGCAGCAGGAGGAGAAAGCAGAGTTTAACTGGAGTAATTCACCCCAAAATAAGCATTTACCCGCTCTCATGTCATTCTGACCTCACATAAAAAAGAGACACACGAAAACACAATCAAAGAACAAGGAATAAAAACGCTTGAGTCATAGGAACTACATTTATGGTGCTTTTTTTGGAGCATGACAGTATAAATCATAAATGTTTATTTGTTGATAAATACAAACAACAAATAATTAATTTTAACATTTAAAAAAAAAACATTAGTTTTTCATTAAAATTACTTGATTATTAAATGCTTTAATATTAAAACAACTTAATTTTAACTAATTGATAAAAAAATAACTAACTAAAAACATTACTTTAATTAAAATGACTATTGCCTACTAAAATATTTTTAATATTAAAACAACTTAACGAATTTATATTTTTGAAAAAAATATGAACTAAAAACATTTTTAATAAAAATGACTATTGCCTATTAAAATATTTTAATATAAAAATATTTTTAATATTAAAACAACTTTATATTTATATAACTATAACATTTTAAATATTAATATTAAATAAAAACAAATTTTCATTAAAAATGACTATTGACTTAATATTAAAATTTACTATTAATAGTAAAATATTTTAATATCTATAAAAAAAGTTGGTTCTGTTTGATATCTTTATTTCATGAAAGTCAGTCATACAGGGCTGGAACAACATGGTAAAATAAAGTAAATAGTGACTAAACAACAATTTTTGGGTGAATTTACACTGAAATTACAAATATAAATCAATACAGTTATTTTAGTTCAACAAACAAAACAAAAATGAGAAATGTTGCCTTGTTTATTTTACTTCAAATAATAAAATTGAAGTAACAATTCTTTGAATTGTTTTCTTATTTAGTTAAGTTTAAATGTATCTTGTTTTAGTTATTTTAGTACTTCAGCTGAAACTAATTGAACTAGGTGAAATAAGAGTTTTTAAATATATTTTATTTCGAATACATTTTTTTTTTAATGGTTTTAGTTTTGATTTTAGTCCAAGGCGACATTTCTAATTATAATACGTTTTAAAAGGTTTTTCCATCTAATATTTATATTAAATTATTTTAATTACTGAAAACGTTTATTGTAATATTGTGGAATGGCTCTATACCTCCAGGATGTGATGTAAGAGCGTGACGCGGCTCTTGTTTGCTTTGGTTTCAGTGAGCTTCAGCAGGGAACTGATCTTGAATCCCTCGGCGTTTCCCGTGTGGCTTCCCTGGCAAAAAGGAAAAATGTATAAAATCAGGAACTAAGACACTGCAAACACAGAAAACAGAGCCACAAATCAGCCCAAATCTCTCTCTGCTGACCAACAAACTTAATCAGATGCAGGCAATCATTGATGCATAGCCACACAAATCTAACATTAATATGAAAAAAATCTAATTAACAGAGCAATAATACATTCTGTGAAGATCAAGGGCGTAGGTTTGATTTTGACATAACAGACAGACATTTAATTATTTGATCAAAATTATTGCTAGGGACAATTTAGTAGTTGCTGGATATTGGTAAGGACATGTTATAGCGTCTCTACTAAACTCTACACCCTTGATGAAAATCAAACTCTTTAATTGTGATTTTCTTACATAGTTGAGAAAGTTTCCAACGTCGAGGATGAGTTTGCAGAAACTGGGCAGCAGTGGACTTTTCCTGAGATCTGCAGGCGACAAACTTCACTGAGTTAGTAAAATGTTATTTTTTTGTGCATTTATTCATTAATTCTGAAATAAATAGTAATTCCATGTGCGCTAAGAAATACCGTACATTAAACAATAATGTGTGAAAAACATTAACAAATGCATTGATATCGCAAAATTTAGGGTGAACATCTCTAGTGTACATTGTGCAAAACGTAAATAAACTAACAAATAAAATAAACAAATTGAATAAAATACATGAGCAAAAATGAAAAAAAAATATATATAACACACTAAAGAAAATATAATACACAAAATACATAAAATAAACAAATACAATACGCAAAACAAAATACACAAACACAAATAAACAAACTAAATAAATAAAAACAAAATATAAAATAAACAAAACAAATAAAACAAACCAAATAAACTAAAATACATGAATAAAAAATAAAAACAAAATAATAAATAAACAAAAACAACACAAATGAAGAAACTAATTAACTAAAATAAATTGATAAACATTTAAAAAATAAAATACAAACAATAAAATACACAACATCATCAATAAATAAATACAAAGACAAAACAAAACATTAAACAAACAAATAAATCAATTCATTTTAAAATTGTTTTATAATGTGGGATATTTTTAAAGCTTTTTTGGGAGGTTCTCTGAAGCGATATCTCGCGTGTAAACTAGGAGTGGAACTGTACACAGATGTCACGGTTCGGGGGCCACGGTTCGATACGATTTCGGTACAACAACAAAAAAAAAACTAAACAAAACAAAAAAAAATACTATGCTCAGCTTCTTTTCATTTATTTTGAACAGACAGTAGTACAAATTAAAAACAATTTCCACCTAGATGTGAAAATACTAAATATTACATTGTTATATATATATATATATACATAAAATCTGCAGTACATATATACATGCATACAAGGAATACATTCTTGAAATATATTTGATTTAGTTTAAAAATAAACAAGAGAAAAAAACAGCCTATAATGTAGCCTATATCAGTTTCAGTTCATTTTTGTGACAGGCTTAATTTGTTCACAGAAAGGAAACTCAAATGGCAGAAAGCGTCATCCTATTTGTTTTCTTTATTTTACAAAAGCACAATGTTTTGTTTTCATTGTGATTGTACACAAATAAAAGCAGACCTTTATACAGTGATGCATTATTAATAAGACAATAAGTGTTTAAAGTTGATTCTGCTGGTATAAGGAAGCAGTTGAAGTGATCGCGCGCGCACGCACACACACACACACACACACACACACACACACACACATCAGTTCCAGCATTGCTAACTTGACAGCACAGTTGGTACTTTATCAAAATAAAATACAGTGAAACCAAACATCAGCACGCCCGCCTCTGTGTCACCGCTGGAACGCGACTGAAGTACAAAGCCTATAATTTACATAATAAATAATAGTTTATCATTCAGATAAGTTACATTGCAAACATGGAAATATTATGGAATATTTGGATTTGTGCCGAATGAGAGAGGTAGGATACACGAGCACAAAGCTCCATTTCGCAAACAGTTGAGTGCACAAGCATTTGAAGTATACTCCTTTGTCAGTCTGTGAGGGACGCATTCAGAATCAGCACATGGTCACGGCCTAGTGGGCTTTGTTTTCAAGTGCGCAACTCACAGCATTCGCTGTTCTTCTGCTGGCGGCCAGTTATCAAACAGCGTTACATTGCTGTGGGTGCCCCCTTCTGGATTGGGGGTGAATTGCCTGTATTTGTTGTAAGGCCTCACGCACCGAACTGAGACGTCCGTACCGTGACATTTCGGTACGAATACATGTATCGTTCCACCCCTAATGTAAACATGATGCACGAGAATCTCACTGAATGTTTCAAATCTCAAGATGTTTAAGCTGCCCGTTACACTTTGCCCTGCTGAAGATTTTTTAAGAGCAGAACGGTTTTTAAACAGCAGCGGTCAGTTGTCACATGCGATCGATTCTTTGTACTCACTCTCACAGGCCATCTCCACCAGCTCCACCTTGGGCTTCAGGATATCGAGCACAGACAGCGTCTCCTCACACAGCAACATGCATTCAATCCTCAGCTGGTAACTGATGACAGACAAAACACAAATAACTGCCTCATGCAGTACCTACCTAGTGTTAGAAGAACAATGCCTGAATTTGGGTTTTAATTACACTTTACCAGGGTACAGCCAGCAGTAAGAGGTAAAAGCGATCCACGTTGGCCAGTTTGTCTGGATCTCCTTGAAAGGACTTTAAGTTGTCAATCTGAAGAAGTTAAACACAAAACACTCAATTGACCAGAAGCAGGACGGTGACGACCCTGAGTCTCCTGATCCTATTGGAGCAGAGCGTGGAAGATTTTGATTGGTTGATTTTGATTGGTTAAAATTGGGGGCTCGTCCGGGATATGAAATTTTATGTTGCGACCTGGTCGTTTAAGGTAGAGACCTGCACTGCCCCAACGCAACAGGGTGCGGCGCAGGACAACTCTTGATAGGCGGGAAGAGACTCGTGTGTGTGTGTGTGTGTGTGTGTGTGTGTGTGGGAGAATAAAATTATTTGCGGGACTCCCGCAAAATAGAAATGATCTAAACAAAGTTTCTAAAACATAAATTGTTATTTATCGGTTGCACAAAAGCAAAAAAACAACTAATATTAACATTAAAATGATTGACAAGCGCAAGGTAGGCATAGTTTATTTATAACATGTTTAAAGGGTTGCGCAATGTAGCCAATCACAGACTCAGCTGTTGATTTCTGGAATGCAATGGCCAATCAGAGGTGCTTAAGAATCTACTCACCGCAGTGCTGACACTGCGTGCTCACGAATCTTTGCATATTTTATTGGGAAGTACCTCATGCTTTTCCGGAAGGAGTTTCAGAAGCTGTTTCAGGGACTCGACGTCAAATTTGGAACAATCTCCTTTCTGCACCATCGACACAAACTCTTCATTTGCGCTGTTTGTGAGTGAAGCAAACAAATAATCTTTAAACGTCTTTCCACAATATCATTTAAACACACACTAAGCAATCCAAAACGTCTGATCTTACCACTTGAACTGCTTCAGAAAGATATTCAGGTTCAGATTCTTCTTGGGTTCAATGAAGGAAATCTGAGAAAATTGTTTATGAAATTTAAATAGCATTTTTTTTAGTACATGTTCCTGCTCTTATTGTGAATGATTTATGAACCACTTTGACCAAGTATTTACTTTTAAAGTTAATATTTCAATAATTTACCAACACAATCACGGTTCTCTGATGTTGGTTAGTGGTCACATGACATGCAGGTAAACAAATTAAATATTTCAGTAATAAAGTATTTTATTTGAATTATTTTAAAATCATTTGAATTTTACATTTTAATTAGAAGCTTTTAATGTACCATTTTTCAATAAATAAAATATTTCTGTAAGTTTAGTGTTTTATAATTTTTTAAAAATAATTTATTTGAATGTTACATTTCATTTAATTATAAGCTTTTAATCAACTCTTTTAAAGGGGTCATATGATGTTGCTAAAAAGAACATTATTTTGTGTATTTGGTGTAATGAAATGTCCTCTATGCCCCTCCTTTCTGAAATGCGTTGATTTTTACAAAGCTCATCGGTCTGAAAAGCGAGGTGTGCTGTGATTGGCCAGCTATCCAGTGTGTTGTGATTGGCCGAATACCTCAAGCGTGTGACGGAAATGTTACGCCCCTCACCATACTGTGATGCCGTATCCCAGCCGGAGTGAGGAGACAAAAACATTAAAACCTTACAGTCAGTGAGTCAGAACAGCCGGCATTGTAGTCTACTCTCCCAGGATCAGGACACAGTCCTCCATAAAATGTGCTGCACACATCTGAATATTTGGGTTGAAGTGTTCTGGAACAGTGTTGTAAATACAGCTTAACCACTGATTTCTAGTCGTGTCCTCTTTTGGAAGACCAAACAAAGTAGTTTCACTTTCACAACGAAACACAGCGCCTTCACAACACGGCGGCAGCAACAATACTACAGCGAGAATAAAAGTTACGCCTTCTTTCTTTGCGTGAACATTTGGGCGGCGTTATGCAAATCTTCCCACATAGTGATGTAGACATGTGGGGGCGTGTCAGAACGAGCCGTTTTAGGTAGGTGTGGCTGACTCTTAACTTTTATAAAGAACATCTCTTTGGATTTGAGACTTTAGTTTTTGCAACTTCACAGATCTTCTTTATGCACCAAGAGCTTGTAACACTCCAAAGAGAAAGGAACCATTTAAATCGCATCATATGACCCCTTTAAACAAATATTTCAGTAAGAGTTCAAAATATTTTAGTAAATGTTTGTAGATTTTTTTAAATTAAATTATTAGCTTTGAAACAAGCTTTTAATCAACTCTCAAACAAAAGTACTTCAGTAAGTGCTCAAAGTTTTGAATTTTACTTATTTTTGTATTTTAAAATATTGTATTTACATTTATTTATTAGCTTTTAAGCAACTCTGAAACAAATAAAACATTTCTGCATGTATTCAAAATATGTTTTTTACATTTTTAATTAGCTTTTAATCAACTCCGTAAATAGCAGATTTCTGTATTAAAATAATTTCTCATTTTACATTTTTTACATTTAATTATTAGCTCTTAATCAACTCTTTTAAATCAAACCCTGCTGTTTTTATCATCTTTAATCGAAATAATGAATAACTTGCTGCAACTCTGAAACAACTTTCTTTTTCAGCTGACGTCATCACTCTCTCTTATTCTTCACAATCGAAGCAGTTTCTAATTATAAAATCAAGTCATGCTCGAGGTTTATTTCTTCTAATTGAAAATCAGTTCATGCATTCACTGGGAGTCGAACCCATGACCTTGCCGTTGCGCGCGCCATGATTTGAGTTACAGGAATGCTCTCAAATTCAATCTGTGATATATAGATATATTTTAAAAAAAAAAGTTTCAATTAAATCATTTTTCTTGTCAGTCTTTTCTAAATAATAAATGGCCAAAATAAGCAGCAAACTTGAGCAGGCTTTATATTGATCATCGACGGTCTGGCTATTAGCAGTGTTATTTTAGTATCATTGACACACTTTCAATGATACTAAAACAATGATCAAACACTTTTAGAGTTATTAAATTAGGTTTTACTTTTATATTTTATGATTTCATTTTAATTTCAGTTAAAGTTTTAGTAATTGTTTTGTTTTATGTTTTTGTAAAAAAAAATTCTACATTTAATTATGGTGTTAGTTTTAGTTCTTTTAGTACATTAACTTAAACAAAAATAAGAAATCAAACCCTGCTGTTTTTATCATCTTTAATCGAAATAATGAATAACTTGCTGCAACTCTGAAACAACTTTCTTTTTCAGCTGACGTCATCACTCTCTCTTATTCTTCACAATCGAAGCAGTTTCTAATTATAAAATCAAGTCATGCTCGAGGTTTATTTCTTCTAATTGAAAATCAGTTCATGCATTCACTGGGAGTCGAACCCATGACCTTGCCGTTGCGCGCGCCATGATTTGAGTTACAGGAATGCTCTCAAATTCAATCTGTGATATATAGATATATTTTATATCTTGCACCTCCTTGGGCTCTTTCTTGAGCGGCGCGGCTGGGCTCTTGTCTTTGGGTTCAGTCACTGGCAGACAGAAGAGCTGCTCGATGCTGTTGTAATTGGGCTCCAGCGGGGAATCGGTCGAGACAGACGCCCACATCGAAGGACCATCTATGAGAAAACCACACACACACTGCATTTGCACACTAAAATGCAAGCGCTGATAGAAAGCATCACTTCCAGTCCGATTTAACAAACGCTTCTGATATCATAGTTCTGTTTGTGGCACTTGGCACTGAAATCATCCATGAGCTGAAACAAATACTCTGAAATAATCATACTTTTGGACAGCCAGAAATTCAAATTAAAACCTACACATACTTCTGGTAATTTTACGTTATTTTCTCAACTTGTTTATCATGTTTGATGTTTTAATAATAAAAAAAAAAAAAAAAAAAAAAAAAAAAAAAAAATTTTAAAATTTAGTATCATTGACACACTTTCAATGATACTAAAACAATGATCAAACACTTTTAGAGTTATTAAATTAGGTTTTACTTTTATATTTTATGATTTCATTTTAATTTCAGTTAAAGTTTTAGTAATTGTTTTGTTTTATGTTTTTGTAAAAAAAAATTCTACATTTAATTATGGTGTTAGTTTTAGTTCTTTTAGTACATTAACTTAAACAAAAATAAGAAATGTTGCCTTTGCAACGAGCTGAAATAAAAGGTTTAAATTTGTTATATTTCATTTTGTTAATATTTTGAATGAGATTTTATTTTTATATTTTGTTTTCATTTTAAATGTTAGTACAATTTTAGTAATTGTCGTTTGTCACTTTTATTACTTTTTTTTTTTTTTTAATCTATATATTTGCAACTAGTTGAAATAAAAGCTTTTGTATTTTATTTTTGTTAATATTTTGAATCCTGATTTTATTTTGTATATTTTTCTGTTTGATTTTCATTTTAGTAATTTAGTCATGTTTTTCACTTATTTTATAAATTTTTTTCTAAATGTCTATATACTTGCAACTATCTGAGATAAAAAAAAAATATCTGCATTTTTGTATTTTATTTTTGAATTAGATTTAATTTTCATATAATTTTTTTATATTAATGTTTTAATAATGGTTTGTCATTTTTGTTAGTATTTGTTTTTAATGTCTATATAATTTGTATTAAGTTTTAGTTGTTTATTTAGTATGAACTAAAATGTTTACAACAAGCTGATTTTTTATTTTTATATTTTATTTCTATTAAAGTTATTTTATTTCAAATAATGATTTTAGCTTTGGTTACCGATATTAAGCCTGGCTATTACATTTCATATTTACATTCTTATGCATTTGGCACAGTGAGAGCTCTGCATTTTCTCAGCTCATGCGTTCTGTGGGAATCAAAGCGTCGCGTCGTTAGCGTTTCTCGCAGATCTCACCGGTGACGGCTCTGGAGTTCAGCTTCTGCCAGTTGAGTTTCTTCATCCTGAGTGTGGGATACGGGCCGCTCCTCGCCGGCGCGGAGTAACACTGGCCAAGCGGAAGAAACGCCCGGGTCACGATCACATCACCTGCTCCTGGAGGAGGAGGAGGAGGAGGAGGAGGTGCACCCATGCCAGGTAAAGGTGGAGGCGGTGGAGGACCTGCAGAACCCATTCCTGGAAGAGGAGGAGGAGGAGGCGGCGGCGGCGGCATCGCTGCTCCGGGTAAAGGAGGTGGTGGAGGAGGTCCAGCTCCTGTTTTGAGAGGCACTGCTGAGAGAGGAGGAGGAGGAGGAGGAGGAGGAGGTCCGGTCTTTGTGGAGTTGCGCGGAGGTTCCTGGCTTTTGGCTGATCTGCAGGAACTCTCCAGTTTCTCATCTTTGCTCTCCGTCTGAACGGCTTGATTCTTTCTTCTGGACTCGTAACCGTCAACCTCAAAAGAGCCTTTGGACAATTCCTTAGAGAAGACGAGACGCTGCAGGATCTTCTCACTCGAGTCCATCTCAGCTGAGCGGACAGAGAGAGAGAAACATGCTGAAACAATAACATTTCATCAATGCATTACAGAAACAAATAAAATATCCATCGGCACAAAGTAATAAAGGTAAGTAAATAAATAAGCAACTGAATGCATGTAAAAAAAAATGAAAGTAAATATTTACATAAGGCAAATACGTATACAAGTAAATACATTTTAGTAAGCAAGCATACAAGTAAAAAAAAATAGTAAATGAGCAATTAGATGCATACTGCAAGTAAACAAATGAGCAAATAAACAAGTAAATCAGCAAGTAAATAGTTAAATAACCAATTAAGAAGTGAATAAATAAATAAGCAGGTAAACGTATAAGTACACAAATGAAAAATATAAAACGTAAATAACGTAAATAAGAAAAAAGGTCAAGTAAAAAATACAAAAATAAATAAGAAATTAAATGCATAAATATACAAGTAAATAAAGCAAGAAAATAAATAAATAAGCAGGTGAATGTATAAGTAAATAAGTGAAAGAACTAAAAGCAAATTAACATATGTAAATAAGCAAGTACATATACACAAGTAAAAAAATAAAAACAATAAATCATAAAAATGATCAATCAAATGCATAAGTAAACAATTAAGCAATAATCTATAAGTTAATAAGCAAGTAAATAAGCAAAGCAAGCAAAAATGTACAAGTAAATAAATAAAAGTAAAAATGAAGTAAATAAATCAATAAAATGGAGTGATTACTGCATGGTATATGCTACTCCAAAAACACACCTGAACTTTTTGGCACTTCTTTGTTAGTGAGTGTTTGTGCCCTTCAGTTAAAAAAAGACAGCCCATAATAATGATGACAAACGCAAATGTATTTACATGATATTTGTGAATATGCTAAATGGTTTGACACACTAGGATTTTTAGAAAAAAGAAGAATTAGGGAGAATAAGTCATTTACTGTCATTGTGTGAATAACGTGTAATCCATAAAAAGTAACTGTAATCTGATTATGAGCATTGGAAAATGTAATGCACTCTGATTACAAGTGCTTAATCCAGATTACATGTAACCAGTTAAGCAAATGGGTCAGTATTTCCAAACAGAGTAATTTCCATGAGAAACAGACTGAAATGCATGGCACATGGCAACTGATCAGAGAGGAACTCACAGCTCTGAGCGATTAGAATGGCCCGGTTAGCGAGCGCCTCCAGCGCCTGCCAGATATCCGCTCGCTCGGGTCCCAGCAGCAGCAGGGCCTGTAAGACGGACAACAGCTGCAGAGACGACGGGAAGCTGCTCACCTGCAAACACACCACACAGCTCAAGCTACCACACACCATACGAGCCAAAGAAACCACAGCAGCTCTGTAAGAGAGGAGCGCCGCTTGCCTTGTTAAACAGAGACGTGAAGACTTCCTGATGGTTGCTCATGTCGATTCCTCCGTAAAGCCTCTGGAGCTCGTCCTCATCCTCAGCCATGGCCTCTTCAAACGCCTCACACTGGATGATCAAGTCTTCATCATCCTCTTCTCTAAAACACACATGCACTGTGACAGAGCATCTCAACTTGAGATTTATTCACTTGCCAAGTGTGCACTTCTGCTTCTGAAAGCTCACCTTAACTTCGGCAGCAGGTGAAGCAGCTGTAATCCTGGTGGACACAAATAAACGTAAAGTCCATGAACACACACCAAAACATCAAGTGCTCTGTGTTGGAAAGCTCTGTTGTGTTAAAGCACAAAACAGGAGGTGTGTGCTTGTGAGACAAACAGGTGAACGCAATTAAGACTTGATCACGTCTGTTTGCAATTGCATACTATACATACTACTCATACTAGATTTGAAGTATGCAATAAGTATATCGTGCACAACTCCAAATGTGCAATATACAGCAGTGTTATTTAGTAGATGATATGTTAGCTTTTATTAATATTTTGAATAATTTTTCTGTTTTAATGATTTAATAATTTATGCATTTTTGTCATTTTTAATAGTTTGTGGTTTATATACGTCTCTATATTTTTTTATTAATTTTTTTTCAGTTTTAGTTTTTGTTATTTTAGCACATCAAGTTGAACTAAATTAAAATGAGAAATGTTGCCTTGGCAAGTAGCTCAATTCTTTTTTAATTATTTTATTTCAGTTAAAGTTCATTTTATTTCAAGTAACACATGTTTTTTATTGTAATTTCAGATTTAGTGAACTATAACAACCCTGACATGAAGTAAGCAACAGCAGCGATTAAGATTTTTCTTTACTCATTATGTGATCAGACTGCAGTTTAGATTTAAAAACACCCACATTTGTTTTCACAGAAATAAATTAACTCTAAATTAAAGCATACTACTGTCTACATGATTGCGTACTGCATGCTGTGTACTTGCATGCAATTTTTAATAAATCGCGGGCAGCATTCATTGTACACTGTGCACTATGCAGTAAGTAGTACAAAGTAGGACTGTTTTTGGAATAAAGGGCTGTGTTCTAAATAGCATACTTACATGCTACTCATACTATTTTTGCAATACTAATATTGTGCACAATAGGTTGCATTCCCAGATGATTTATTAAATTGATCCAAATGTGCAAAATACAGTAAGAAACAACAGTTTTTAGCATTTTTCTTTACTCGTTATTATTCAGGCTGCAACTTAAATAAAAATAACTACATTTATTTTCAGACAAATAACTCTAAAGCACTCTACTGTCTCAATGGTTGCATATTCCATGCTGTTTCACATGCTATTTTTAATATAGCAGGCAGCATTCCGTGTACACTGTGTACTATGCAGTAAGTAGTACGCTAGTATACTATATTCCATGCTAAGGGCTGTTTGGATTAAGGACCGTGTTCAAAATAGCATTCTTCCATACTACTCACACTATTTTTTGCATACTACTCATACCGTACACTATGCAGTAAGTAGTATGCTAGTATTCTACAAGAGCTGTGTTTGGAATGAGGGTTGTGTTCTAAACAGCATACTTGCAGTTTGGATTAAGAACTGTTCAAAATAGCATACTTCCATACTACTCACACTGTGCAGTATGCAGTAAGTAGTGTGCTAGTATTCTACAAGAGCTGTGTTTGGAATAAGGGTTGTGTTCTAAACAGCATACTTGCAGTTTGGATTAAGAACTGTTCAAAATAGCATACTTCCATACTACTCACACTGTGCAGTATGCAGTAAGTAGCATGCTAGTATTCTACAAGAGCTGCATTTGGAATAAGGGTTGTGTTCTAAACAGCATACTTGTACGCTACTTATACTTTTACACTAGTATTCTATATTCCATGCTACGGACTGTGTTCAAAATAGCATTCTTCCATACTACTCACACTATTTTTTGCATACTACTCATACCGTACAGTATGCAGTAAGTAGTATGCTAGTATTCTACAAGAGCTGTGTTTGGAATAAGGGTTGTGTTCTAAACAGCATACTTGTACGCTACTTATACTTTTACACTAGTATTCTATATTCCATGCTATGGACTGTGTTCAAAATAGCATTCTTCCATACTACTCACACTATTTTTTGCATACTACTCATACCGTACAGTATGCAGTAAGTAGTATGCTAGTATTCTACAAGAGCTGTGTTTGGAATAAGGGTCGTGTTCTAAACAGCATACTTGCCGTTTGGATTAAGAACTGTGTTCAAAATAGCATTCTTCCATACTACTCACACTGTGCAGTATGCAGTAAGTAGTATGCTAGTATTCTACAAGAGCTGTGTTTGGAATAAGGGTTGTGTTCTAAACAGCATACTTGCATGCTACTTATACTTTTACACTAGCATTCTATATTCCATGCTAAGGGCTGTTTGGATTAAGGACTGTGTTCAAAATAGCATTCTTCCAAACTACTCACACTGTGCAGTATGCAGTAAGTAGTATGCTAGTATTCTACAAGAGCTGTGTTTGGAATAAGGGTTGTGTTCTAAACAGCATACTTGCATACTACTTATACTTTTACACTAGTATTCTATATTCCATGCTACGGACTGTGTTCAAAATAGCATTCTTCCATACTACTCACACTATTTTTTGCATACTACTCATACCGTACAGTATGCAGTAAGTAGTATGCTAGTATTCTACAAGAGCTGTGTTTGGAATAAGGGTTGTGTTCTAAACAGCATACTTGCAGTTTGGATTAAGAACTGTTCAAAATAGCATACTTCCATACTACTCACACTGTGCAGTATGCAGTAAGTAGTGTGCTAGTATTCTACAAGAGCTGTGTTTGGAATAAGGGTTGTGTTCTAAACAGCATACTTGCAGTTTGGATTAAGAACTGTTCAAAATAGCATACTTCCATACTACTCACACTGTGCAGTATGCAGTAAGTAGTGTGCTAGTATTCTACAAGAGCTGTGTTTGGAATAAGGGTTGTGTTCTAAACAGCATACTTGCAGTTTGGATTAAGAACTGTTCAAAATAGCATACTTCCATACTACTCACACTGTGCAGTATGCAGTAAGTAGTGTGCTAGTATTCTACAAGAGCTGTGTTTGGAATAAGGGTTGTGTTCTAAACAGCATACTTGTACGCTACTTATACTTTTACACTAGTATTCTATATTCCATGCTATGGACTGTGTTCAAAATAGCATTCTTCCATACTACTCACACTATTTTTTGCATACTACTCATACCGTACAGTATGCAGTAAGTAGTATGCTAGTATTCTACAAGAGCTGTGTTTGGAATAAGGGTCGTGTTCTAAACAGCATACTTGCCGTTTGGATTAAGAACTGTGTTCAAAATAGCTTTCTTCCATACTACTCACACTATTTTTTGCATACTACTCATACTGTACAGTATGCAGTAAGTAGTATGCTAGTATTCGACAAGAGCTGTGTTTGGAATAAGGGTCGTGTTCTAAACAGCATACTTGCCGTTTGGATTAAGAACTGTGTTCAAAATAGCTTTCTTCCATACTACTCACACTATTTTTTGCATACTACTCATACTGTACAGTATGCAGTAAGTAGTATGCTAGTATTCTACAAGAGCTGTGTTTGGAATGAGGGTTGTGTTCTAAACAGCATACATGCATGCTACTTATACTTTTACACTAGTATTCTATATTCCATGCTAAGGGCTGTTTGGATTAAGGACTGTGTTCAAAATAGCATTCTTCCAAACTACTCACACTGTGCAGTATGCAGTAAGTAGTATGCTAGTATTCTACAAGAGCTGTGTTTGGAATAAGGGTTGTGTTCTAAACAGCATACTTGCATACTACTTATACTTTTACACTAGTATTCTATATTCTATATGTACTGTAGTATCTACGTCTAGTTGAATGTACCAATGAACTCCTTGCGCATCTTGTCTCTCTGGCGCAGGTCGTCGGCGCTGAAGATCAGGGCGTTTATGACGCTCAGAAGAGTCACCATGTAAGGCACGTTATCAGTGGATTGGAGTTCATTCATAATCACACTGAATCGATACTGCTGCGTCTTCACAGACTGTTAGACAAACACAGCATTGTTTCACATCACATCATGTCATGCAAACTTCACAATAGGCATATTTTTGACATTTTGATGTGATTATTCTTAAACCTTCCTTTCAAATCCCCATGTTAAAGCTAATATCATTGCTCCAAAAGAAAACCATCATTTCCTGGTATTGAGACTTTGTTGGTTGTATGAGGCTTAAAAAGAAAACGACTTTCCGATTGAAAATATGCATGCACAAAATGTCTCCATTTTATCTGAAGTTCAGTTAAAACACCTTGTTTAACATAGTAATAAATAATCCACTCACCCTGGAAATATGATTTTCTTAGGATTGTTGTTTACCAGTACAAATATAAACATTCTTAAATCAATACACATTTATTAAGAGGCAAAAAGACTGAAGATATTAAAAAAAAAAGAAAAATTAAGTGAGTTTAAGCTTAAAACAAGAGAAATATCTGCCAATGGGGTCAGAAAAATAAACTTAATTCAAAGGGAAAACAAGATTATTTTTCTTAAAATCTCATAAGTACATTACAGCCTAAATTAAATCTCCATAGACTTCTTACAATAAATAAATAAACAAGCAAGTAAATATATAAGTGAATAAGTAAATAAAGCAAGTAAATATGTAAATAAACAAGCAAGTAAATATATAAGTGAATAAATAAATAAAGCAAGTAAATATGTAAATAAACAAGCAAGCAAGTAAATAAGTGAATAAATAAATAAAGCAAGTAAATATGTAAATAAACAAGCAAGTAAATATATAAGTAAATAAATAAATAAAGCAAGTTAATATGTAAATAAACAAGCAAGTAAATATATAAGTGAATAAATAAATAAAGCAAGTAAATATGTAAAGAATATGTAAATAAATAAGCAATTAAATAAGAAACCTGTAAATAAAGAAATAAAAGCAAGCAAGTAAATAAGTAAAGAAATATGAAAATAAATAAACAAGTAAATATATAAATAAATAAAGCAAGCAAGTAAATAAGAAATATGTAAACAAATAAGCAAGTAAATATATAAATAAGCAATTGGCAGATATCTGTCCTTGTTTTAAGCAAAAACTCACTTCATTTTGATACATTTTTCAGAAAACAAGGCTTCTTATTTTCTGTCATTTTGCTTCTCCAGTAAATGTATCTTGATTTAAGAAACTTCAGATATTTGTACTGGAAACAAGACAAACATAACGAGAAAGAGCATCATTTTTTGCAGTGTAAATGTCACTTCTGCAGAGAGAATAAAATTCTTAAGTCTATTCAGAAGCAGTAGTGTGGACGTTATGTGTTTTTACCCACATGCAGTAAAACAATGACATATTAAGAGATTATTTGAGACGCATGTTATCTGTCTCAGCTGACCCCTTCAGATCACCGACACTTAAAACTCGCTTTCTGACCTGATATCAATCGCTTAACTGATCCAGACGGAGACGCAGGAATCATATCATCACTTGCCTTGTAATGGTCCAGAGCGTCTAAAGCAAGTCTGTGTCCCTCAGAGGAGAACATGCTGAGGGCCGCCAGCAGCTCAAACACCTGCTTCTTCACCATGGTGTTAGACGTGTCCAACGCTGGAGGGAAAGGGAAAGGAAATATAGTGCTTTTAGCTTCCTCCTCCATCGTTTTCTCCCTCTCCACTTTTAGGATGTGTTAGCAGCTAATTTTTGGGAGACGTAATGTGAACTTTGTACTTCTGATGGTTAAAAAAACAGCCAAAGCATGTGATAGGTGTGAAGATTGTGCAATGCAGATACTGTGAGCAATGCTTTGGAGGAATGTGTGTTTTTCTGAATTTATCTCGTCTACTGGATAGTTAGTGCACAGTTTTAAAGGAACAGTTCAGTCAAATCCTTCTTTCAGACGTATAGAATCAGTGATTGCGGGACTTCGACAGACTGGTTTTTGGATTGTGGACACATGCATCCTCAAAAGAGAAGCGTGAAAGAAATCCATGCGGGTTTGGAACGACATGAGGGTGAGTAAATTACTTCTGGGTGAACTATTCCTTTACCCCTGTAAAGCCTGACACATGAAAACATAGTGAATCAAATCTGTTTTTCTGAAATGGAACAGTTTATTGAACCTTTAGAAAATATATTTACAAAAAACAATGTTTGCATGTTTGTTGTTGTTGTTGAGTATCATTGACACGTCAGGCTTTTATGGCTCTTAATTTTGAAATAAAATAAAATAAATAAAATTATGACATACTAAATCATAATTATGAGATATAAATTATGATATACTAAGTCATAATTATAATATAAAAAGTCATAATTATGTCATAAATTCATTTATGACATACTAAGTTATAATTTAGAGGTAAAAAGTCAATTATGAGATAAAAAAAGTCAAAATTATGAGATAGAAAGTCAACATTATGACAAGTCAATTATGAGATAAAACACATAATTATGAGATAAAGTAAAAATTATGACAAGTCAATTATGAGATAAAATTCCTAATTATGACACAATAAGTCATAATGTAAAGATAAAAATTCATCAATTTGAGATAGAAAGTCATAATTATGAGACAAAGTGAAAATGATGAAAAGTGAATTATTAGATTTAAAAAAGTCATAATTATGAGATAAAAAGACAAAATGATGACTATAAAAGTTAAAAAAAAAATTTTTTTTAATTGAACGGTTTACTGAAACTTTAGACAAAATCTTTTTAAAAAATCTTTAAAAAAAGTAGCAAATGTGTTTTTTGTCATAAATTTGACTTTTTATCTCATAATTATGAATTTTTATCTCATAATTCTCGTCATTATTTTCACTTTGTCTCATAATTATGACTGTTTATCTCAAAAGTCGTTATTTTTGTATTTTTTTTGGGCACAAAAAGTATTCTCGTAGCTTCATAACATTACGGTTGAACCGCTGATGTAACATGGACTGTTTTAACGATGTCCTAACAACCTTTCTGGGCCTTGAACGTGTCAGTTCCCATGCAGGGTCAGAAAGCTCTCGAATTTCATCAAAAATATCTTCATTTGTGTTCTGAAGATGAACGAAGATCTTACAGGTTCGGAACGACATGAGGGTGAGTAATTAATGACAGAATTTTCATTTTTGGGTGAACTATCCCTTTAAAAGATGTGAGATGTTCTGGAGGCTTGTGAAGATCATTCCTCCGCTGAGGAACAGTGAAAGTAAAGCTTCTGGAAACAAACGCTCCTCAAAAGATCCTGAGGATCAGATTTGAGACTCTAAAACATGATTGATGGAGAATCAAGTAAAGCTGAGCTGCTTCAGTGCAGTAAGTGTTCATCTGGAGATATTACTGCAGTTATTCTGACGCTTACTTGATCAAAATCAGTCCAGATTTGACTTGTGAAGCTCCAGCTCCAGAATTACACTAAAAGAGCTTCGACTGAATAAAACACTCGTAGCTCTCGATCAGAGACAGAAGGCATGGAGTGGCTTGTGTGCAACAGGTTTAACAGCAGAGTTTGATCATTTGGAGATCAAATATGATACAGTAAGATTGCTCTACCCTGTGACAGCTTGCGCACGTATCCCTCATTATCCACGATGAAGTGAATCCCGGCGGACGAGTTCATCACGGCTCTCACACAGCTCACACACGTCAGCTGCAGCAGAGCGTCTGCGATTCGAGAGCAGCCGCGTCCCGACAGACGGTCCAGGGCCTCCAGCAGCAGGTCGAGGCCCGAGAGCTCCAGGAACTGCACCATCCAGATCTGGTCACTCTTCTCCAGACGCTTCTTCAGGCCCGAGTAGTTGACCACGGTGGGCACCTGCAGCAGACGGATGCACAGCTCGGCGTCTGCGTTCTCCAGGTTGGCCTCCTGCGAGCCGTCCGAGTCCTGAGACGAGCCCAGTCGACCTCGCACAGCTGCCCACTTCTTCTGCGCGCCGTCTGACTTCCCAGACATGATGATGATGATGATGACGATGAAGATGAAGAAGATCGAGGGAGGTGCTGCGGAGGTAAAAAGCAGAGAATTTATTTAAACACACAATAATATTAATAGTTTAATTCAGATTCACACAGAAACTCAAATCTCTTCACTACATCCCGCCTAAATAAACGTCTGGTTTAACTTGAAGAAATTGTGACAGAAATATATAACTACTATACAGCAAAATGTACTTCTTAAAGCAGCAACAATAATAATAATAATAATTTACAATAAACACAATTATTAATATTATTATTAAAATTATTAAATACGTTGCTGCGGAACAGAACTTGAATACCATATAAATTAAAACATGAAAAAATATATTTTTATGAAATTCATAATAATAATAATAACAACATTTATTAAAATATTACATATTATATTTCCACCCATTAATAGTATGAAATTAATATCATAGTAAACAGAGATTATGAATAATATGGAAATAAATATAGCCCGACCTAGGGCTGGGCGATATGACTAAAAAAATTATCATGATATGATGTTTCATATTGTTCGGTATCGATAATTATTGAACATTTTTTATAACCTTTCTTAAACAGAGAGCAGTAGAAAAAAAGGTTTAAATTTAACCACTGTATTTTTTATTTACCCAATTTATTAAGACAAACGACAACTTATTTTAGGCTTAACAAACAAAATAACAAAATAAAATTGAAACAAATATCTCCTTTCTTATATTTTATATGCAGATTAAATAAGTGTTAAGGAAACTTTTGGCCTGTCTCCTGAGGCCACAGGAGGGCGCAATGAGCAAAATAATGCACCTCATTAAACGGTTTATTCAATGCAATGAAAATAACGGCTGTCTATAAAAAAGTACATAACGTCTAAACTAATATTTATAAATCAAATATGATTCAGTAAATTGCATAAACAATAATGAACAAAACAGCATCATGTATTTATGCCTAGCTTAATATAAACAGCCAAAGCGCCGATCACACGATTGCATTTAAAAATATACGAGATGCAGTGGAATGGAATAAAAGCCCCACAAATTCTCGAGACATGTTTTCTAAAAGTTGAACCTCTTTTAACTTTACATGGCTTTCTATTCAACTCTTGTGCTAGACGTGAGTGCAGCAGTCATAGTTGTGCGTCTCAAGAATGCGCCGAATATGCATTCTGTGTGAATGGCTTGGTTTCGGTTTTAACCTAAACAACATCTTCTCTGCATTTCGCTAATGTTTTGAATGGAAAATGCAGCAGCGGCGCATCTTGTGGTTTCAACTGGATATAGACTAACAAAAACATTAAATGCAACATCATCCTCACCGCATCTAGTGCGCTGCTAATAAGGCTCCCTGACGCACAACTAAAATTAAATTTTTTCATTTGAATGCGAATTTTTATTTTAAAAATACACAGTCTCCTCATCGCAGACAGGCACGGCACTCATTTCAGCATGTGTTCTGTTGGCTGTCTGCTTGTCACTCATAACACGCGCACTTTAAACGGGTCATATGATGCAATTTCAATTTTTCCTTTCTCTTTGGAGTGTTACAAGCTCTTGGTGCATAAAGAAGAAGATCTGTAAAGTTGCAAAGACTAAAGTCTCAAATCCAAAGAGATATTCTTTATAAATTCAACCACGCCTACCTAAAATGGCTCATTCTAACACGCCCCCACATGTCTACGTCACTATGTGGAAATATTTGCATAATGCCACCCAAATGTGCACGCACAGAAAGAAGGCGTGGTTTCAGTAACCGCAGTTAGTGTTGAAGCAGCATGTCAGGGAGACGCTGTGTTTCAGTGCAAAAGCAAAAGCACTTTATTTGGCCTTCCGGAAGTAGATGCAATTAGGAATCATTGGTTAAGATTATATTTACAACAGAACAGCACAACCCAGATGTTCGAATTTGTGCAACGCATTTTATGGACGACAGTTTTTTGAACCTAGAAGATTACAAGGCTTGCTGTGCACAAAGGCTATTTCTAAAAAGAGAGAATTTCAAAAATTTGCTATGTCAATCTGTCACTTCTGAATCAGCGACTGTAAGTATGTTTTGTTATCAGTTTAAGTATTTGCTATTGACTGTTCAAATGCGGAGTTTTGCGCAGCGCAGAGTAATGCTTTGTGTGTGTGTATGAGTGTGTGTGTGTGTTTATGAGTGTGAGTGTGTGTGTATGAGTGTGAGTGTGTGTGTGTGTGTGCGTGCGTGCGTGCGTGCGTGCGAGTGAGTGTGTGTGTGTGTGTGCGCGTTTTTGTGACAAATGAGGACATAAATGTGTATAATGACAAAGGTATGACAGGTATTACAAGGAGAAGGTGACTTTTCAGGACATTACCCCATGTCCCCACTTTTCAAAACACTTATAAATCACACAGAATGGAGTGTATTGAAAATCTGAAATAGCAGAAAGTCTCCTGTGAGGGGTAGGTTTAGGGGTAGGGTTGGTGTAGGGCAATAGAATATACGGTCTGTACAGTATAAAAACCGCGATATATCGAAGATTTTTTCTATCGTTATCGATGATGGTGTACCGTCGATAAATATCAATACCGTTTTATCGCCCAGGTCTAGCACAACCCTACTTTCATAAAAGAGTCATATTCATAAAGACACATGATTTGAGGAATAATTCACATCTTAAAACACTCAGGCTAAGCAAAACATCAAAACTAGGCTTGAAGATGCAGGAAGGTCAGAATGTCTATCAGAAACGCCCATATTTAGAGGAAACAAGAGCAGAGTGTCACAGGAAGGAAGGCTAAAACAGCAGCATAACACTTTCTTCAATCCAGAGGAATGGATGATCAGTTCAGACTTGCAAACTTCAACCCATCCTGAGCTCTTCTCGTCTTTCTCCATTTGGGTTCACACTTTCCTTGCATGCTTCATTTTGATTCATCATTTCAACAGACCCAGAAAGAGGCTTTCAATGGCAAGCACTGGCATGAAAATCATTTTACTTCACTGACTGGGGAATTTTTTATAGTACTGTGAAGATTAAAGTCTCTTTTTAATGCAAAATAATTATATCACTTCTAAAGCAAGTTCAGATCTATTCCACATCATCGTAAGTAAACATGAGCGGAAAGCTTTGTCTGAACACACCCTTAAACTCAACAAACACAGGAATCTCTCCGACATACAGACAGAGACGAGATGTTTCATTGATCTCACACACAGACGCCAATGCAGAAGGTCAGAAAGTCACATGAGGTTCATGTACAGACCAAAATACACTTAGCATAAGTTTTGGATCAATTGCAAACAGCAGCCTTGAAAATAATGATAATTTTAAAAAAAATCTGCGTCATTTAAATGAAAGTTGCTGTGTATTAGAATGACTTCATGAGGATCATGTGACACTGAAGACTGGAGTAATGATGCTGAAAACTCAGCTTTGATCACAGAAATAAATTACAGTGTAACAGAGATTCACATAGAAAACTGCTATTTGAAATTGTAAAACTATTTCACAATTTTTATTGTATTTTTTGACCAAATAAATGCAGCCTTTGTGAGCATATTAGACCAAATTACAATAGTATAAGCATCTGGATAAAGTGTGAACAGCAGCCTTGAAAATAAAAACTGCATCACTTAAATTAAAGGTAAATTTAAATTTTTCTTCATCAATATTTTGCATTTAAATGATGCACTTTTATGTGCACTACCCTTGAAAAGTAAGATTTGATTAATTAAAGATGCATTAAATTGATCAAAAGTGACAGCAAAGACATTTATAATGTAACAAAAGATTTCTGTTTCGAATAAATGCTGTTCCTTTGAACTTTAATTTCATCAAAGAATCCTGCAAAAATAAAATATGTCACTGTTTCCACAAAAATATTGTGCAGCACGACTGTTTTCAACATTGAGAATAATCAGAAATGTTTCTTGAGCAGCAAATCAGCATATTATACTGATTTCTGAAGATCATGTGACACTGAAGACTGGAGGAATGATGCTGAAAATACAGCTGCGCATCACAGAAATACATTACAGTTTAACAGATATTCACATAGAAAACAGCTATTTTAAATTGCAATAATATTTCACAATTTTACAGTATTTTTGATCAAATAAATGCTACCGTGGTGACTTTTGTTTTTACAAATCAAGTGCTTAAAACAGATTACAAGTGTATTTTAGGATGCTCACTGACTTCTTAACATAAACACTTGCGTGTTATGGAATAAATGTATTGCAGTCTATTGTACATCCATCTAAACTGCTGATTCGACACGATCTGCACTTCATATCTGATTGTCCTACACAAAACACAGCGTTGGAATCTGTCCCAACAGCCACCGCGGGATGTCCTGCAGGGATTTACTGCTGACAAAAGAGCGTTTATGCCACGGTGAAGCTCAACAAAAGTGCCAGAGCGTCTTTGACACTGGATTCAGTTTTCCTTTTTCTACCCCAGTTTGTTTTGACTGAGAGAAAGTCAGAGAGATGCTTTATTTAGCTTGATAGAAAAAGCTATTTTAGATGTTGGCTTGGGGAATGTTGGGCATATTTGGGCTTGTTTCGTCTCTGGATGCCAGTTACTCAATATCAAGACCCTCTCAGAACAAGAAATCACAAGAAAAGTTAATTTACGTCACGCTGAAGCTGATTCAAATCTACTGAAACAGACAATCTGGTGAAATACCGGTCATGCCGTAACTCACAGCTGCTCAGATAAGGCAGTTTCTGCACTTTAGAGAACACATTGCGCAAAAGTTCATGCAAGAAGCAATCTCCGCATGAATGCCAGGAATGTCCTTCACACAGACCCTCCAATGTCTAAGAGTATGTAAGACTTCAGCACACGGTCACATGCTGCAGTCAGGAAGGAAAGGGAAACTCACAGAACAATACGACTCGATGCTTCTGCTTTTCTCACTTCTGTATACTGTGGTCGTTTTTCCTGAAGAGCGAATTGCACAAAATCATAAAATCAAGTCATATTTCGACCCAAAATCAAGCAGATAGAAAGAGGGAATTATATCTTGCTGAAGCATATTTCTGGGATGATCGTTTTCATGACTATTTCTTGACAAAGCATTTTTCCCTTTAATAATCATTTTGCACATTTAAAAAATCCCACTGCATTGCTATTTTTTTGGGGATGAAATTGTCATGGAAATAATGTCACAAAAACACACAATTTCTTTTAATAATCATTTTAAACGTTTGACTTTAAAATCCCATTGTGTTGCTATTTTTCATGATGGAATTGTCAAGAAAATAACGTCTCAAAAGCTAATTTCCTGTAATAACCATTAATATTATTATAAATCATTGAATATTTTAACTTTAATAAAATCCCATTGCATTGAATTTTTATGAAGTGGAATTATCAAGAAAATAATGCCACAAAAAACACATTTCCCTTTAATATGCATTTTAACCTTAAAAATCCCAAAGAATAGCTATTTCTGCAGAATTGAAATTTTTTTTTAATTCACAAAAAGCAAATTTTCCTTTAATAATCATTTTAATATTTTAACTTTGATAAAATCTCATTGCATTGCATTTTTAACCCAATTGTCAAGAAAATAAACTTACAAAAAGCAAATAAAATAAATAAATAATAATAATTAGTAATTATGTTAAAATTTTGACCTTAAAAATCCCATAGCATTGCTACATATCATTGGAGATTGTAAAGAAAATAGTTCACACACACACACACACACAACATTGGGGTGAAATACGACCTGGACAAGTTTTAATGGGATTCACCTCAATACTTCAAAGAAGCAGCTAGAAAGTCCAAACAGTCCAAAGGCTATTTGACTGTAACGCACAGATACAGTGAAGCATCTACTCTGTGCCGATCTTGATAAAGCTTCTCTGTGAGGTCAGACACTCTCAAGGGTGACGATAACCTACATATGAACAATACAATCACGTGTGTTTGTCACAAACCTGCAAACATGAAAGTCACTAAACAAAGTGGTCCTCTTCAGATGATATTTGGGTGAAACTAGCTACGCAATAGTTGAGTGGAAAAGCACAGGTCCATGTAAGTACAGAGATTTCATATAAACACTCATGCAAACGACAGCTTGTTCATTTCACTGGAATGTGTGACTTATTAAGAGCATCACTAGAAATAGTGTGAATTTATCACATTTCCTCCTTTTCTGGGTGTCACGCTTACATGACACAATCTAACGGGACAAACAGCAGCTGTTTCCTGTGAAATGCAAATAGGAAATATTTAATAACCACTTACATAAAATGACATGGATCGAGCCATGATAACAGCCTGCATAGAGAGAGCAATGCAGTTTTGTTTCTGATGACTGAATGCATCATTCAGTATTATATACACCCATAAGCCCATACTTAACTTTTACTGACTAAGCAGACACACCCGACTACACTGGAAATCAAGAATTACAATAAATGTCCACTGTTACTGGCAAGATACCACATTACTACAGTAAAACTGCAATAATGTGGTGTTATTACCCACCAAAAAAATTAAAATGAAAAAGAATCAGAATAACGGATTGTGAAAGGTTTTTACATGATTTTCATTTAATAATAGCTAATGTAAAAACTATGAATTTAAAAATCTAATTTTTGGGGATGGAATCAACAAGAAAATGTTACAAAAACACATTTTCTTTTAATAATAATTTGAACATTTTAACTTTAAAAATCATATTGCATTGCTATTTTTGGGATGGAATTCGGGGTCGACCGATTATCGGTACAGATATTAAGCTTTTTATGGTTATCGGTCATTTGCGATAAAATAATTTAAAAGCATTTAAAGAAAGGTTTTGTCAGAGCCCTTGTTATTCTTAAGTTTGACATTAACTTTCATTTTTACACCAGACATATATATATATATCGGTTCAAAATATCGGTTATCGGTCTACTTGATCTGTAATAATCGGTATCGGCCCTGAAAAACACATATCGGTCGACCCCTAGATGGAATTGTCATGAAAATAATCCTACGAACAGCACAATTTCCTTTAATGATCATTTTAAGATTTAAATTTTAAAATCATATTGCATTGCTATTTTTGGTTAAGGAACTGTAAATAAAAAAAAGTCACAAAAAGCTAATTTTTCTTTATAATTATTTTAAGATTTTAATTTTAAAATCCACATTGCATTGCTATTTTTTTTTAGGTAAAAAAGCAAAAAATAATTTTAAAATTATAACTTTAAAAGTCCAGTTGCATTGCTGTTTTTTGGGGATTTGTAGTAATCGTGACAAAATGTAATGTAATGTGGTGTTATTCGTCTCTGTCAACAAAAAAATAAATAAATAAAGATTTTTACACTGTTAGAGGTCACATATTAATTTACTGTAGCAAAAATATCCATAACAACTACTAACAAACTAAAAAAATATTTTGTAATTGTGAATTTACTAGCAATTTCTGAGTGAAAATGGTTTCAAAGTATTGTATTTTGTCTAAAAATGTCTGAAAATAAAGTCTAAAACACCTGATTTTGATCTCTTTTGTCCATCCAGGCTTATTATACAGAGCAAATCCATCTGATTCAGTGTTTTTACAGACTGCAGCTGCATTTCAGCATAACATCTGCTTCATATTAAGACTCTTCCTCAACTCCAGCACTAAAAAGCTTCTCCTCCTCCTCATCTGATTGCTGCTGTCCATCTGATCTCCTGAATATATCGCCCACACTCATGCATTTACACCCACACAGTGAACCAAATCACTATCTGTGACAAACAACTCAAGCCTGAAGAGGACAGCATGTCTTCAAATGACGAGACAGCATCAGTAAAGCATCTTTACATGCAGTAACTTTGACCCTGTTTACATACAAACGACATGCAATGATACAAACAAACACTGATCTCAGCTGATGCTTGGCTTGATATGACAAACGCAACATTGTTTCCATATTCGGGTCAATAAACAGTACACAAATAACAATAAAATCTCCACTGTTTTACCGACAGTCAAGCTTCATCTGCGAAACATGGCGATTTTTCCTTCTCAGCGCCATATTCATGATGCATAATGACACTAGTAAGGAAATACTTCAGATATTTGTATGAAATTAGGTTTCACTTGAACTCAGGTGGGTTTTTATGGTATAGAGGAAATCTTTAAGATATGAAATATTAATTTGTCCTACCTGTGATTTGGCGAGTGTCCTTTATGATGTGATGAAGAGGAGAACTGATGCGAGCAGACACATTCAAGGCGTCTCTCCTGATAGTTTGAAGTATTCCTGGCGGATGAGGGTGAGATTGTTGGACTGACTCAAGCTGCTGCTGACACATGTGCTGACCACGCCCACTGAGTGCGACGGGGCGTGGCTTAACACGCTCCTCTGCCAAGCCAATGGAATTCTGGAGTACTGCATACTGCGACTGTGCCGAAGTATGCAACAGGAGACCTTTTAAAGGAACAGTTCACCCAAAAATGAACAATGGATGCTCTGCAGTGAATGGGTGCCGTCAGAATGAGAGTCCAAACAGCTGATAAAAACATCACAATAATCCACAGCACTCCAGTCCATCAGTTAACATCTGGAGAAGACAAAAGCTGAAGCAAATCCATCATTAAGACGTTTTAACTAAAATACGAGTCCATAATCCATAATAAAGCTTCCTCCAGTGAAAAAGTCCGTCTCCTGTTGTCTCTCACATCAAAATCCAGCCGCATATTTGTTTAGAGCTGTTTAAACGCTGCTTGATCTGTGCAGATTTCTCTCCTGATTCACACCAGACCGCTTTTTCACTGGAGGAAGCGTTATTATGAATTATGGACTCGTATTTTTGTTAAAAACGTCTTAATGCTGGATTTGTTTCAGCTTTTGTCTTCTCCAGATGTTAACTGATGGACTGGAGTGCTGTGGATTACTTGTGGTGTTTTTATCAGCTGTTTGGACTCTCATTCTGACGGCACCCATTCACTTGCAGTGAGACACTGATGCAATGCTACATTTCTCCAAATCTGATGAAGAAACAAACTCATCTACATCTCGGATGGCCTGAGGGTGAGCACATTCCTATACCTTTAAACAGCAGGATGACAGTAATATTTAGCCACCCTATCTTCTCTACTCTCTCTGTTAATGCACAAAGGCTGAAGCTGTTTTAAACTGTCATAAACAAGACAGACTTACATATAACAAGTTAAAATGCATATTTCATAAGTAAAAACATGCTGTGTTGGCTAAAAACAAATGCTATCAGCCTTTGGCGCATTAATTATGACAGTAGGTTACCAACGCAAGGCTGCAGGTCCTGACAACATACCAGGCCGGTTAATCAGACTGTGTGGGCTGCAACACCTCCAGCACTAGGTGCCCCACAGGGCTCTGTGCTCAGTCCGCTGCTCTTCACGCTGCACTGCCAAGTTCAGCTCCAACCACATCATCAAGTTTGCAGATGACACAACTGTGTTAGGCCTCATCAGCAACAATGATGAAACACTCTATGGCTCAGTGGCTCCACTTCCTGTGCTGACTTAAAAGAGCAAGTCTCCCTCGACCCATCCTCACCACATTCTACAGGGACACCACTGAGAGTGTGCTGACCAGCTGCATCAATGCCTGGCATGAAACCTGCAGTGCCACAGACCGCATTTTCCTTGCACGATGCTCCAGTAAATCCACCAGTATTGTGAAGGACCACACCCATACTTCCCACAGTCTCTTCCAGCTCCTGCCATTAGGTAGAAGGTACCGGAGCACCAGAGCCTGCTCTGCAAGATTACTCAACAGCTTTTCCCCCCAGGCTATGAGAGCCCTAAACTCCAATTACCCCTCTGAAACCTCATCCACTACCCCACCTCCTGAAACCAGGAACATCTCACCACCCCACCCCCACCCCACCACACCACATGAAAACTTTTGAAAACTTTGTGCAATCTGAGTGTGCTACAAACAGGTGAGTGGGCTGCACAACCCCCCTGTATATGCACCAGACACTTTTATAAACACTCCCTGCTACAAAGACTCAATAAGATAACATATGTTTACTTGCACATGCACTACAATCGTCTGTGCTGCTTGCCATGAAATACATCTTTTGCACAATATCATGTACAGTATTTATGTAAACATATTTGTATAGTTTGTCTTTGATATATATTTATACAGTATATATGTACGATATAGATATATTGACTATATGTATATATAGCCAATATTTATAGTATATGTATAGTCAGATTACCGCTCTCATTAGGTTAGCTATGTACAGATTCATAATTGTTTCTTACTTCTACTGCTGTATGTTTATATTTATGCTGTATGTTTATAATATTGCCACTGGATGTCCACACATGTAGCAGAATGGCAATAAAGCTCAACTTGACTTGACTTGACTTGTTATATTTTATAGTCAGCATTAGTTTGCATTAAGTGATTATGTTGGAAATGTATGTATCCCTAAAAATGTCAAATGTAATCTCACTGGTCAGACTGAGAGACACACCCGAGCCAACACAACATCATGTTGCAACTCATGTTACAAAACTGTCTGATTTAGAAAAAGAAAATTAGGAAGGCAAGAGATTCTCTTCTTGCAGTTTAGTTTCAGTAAACTGTCTGGATAGTCCGGAAGAATCAACCACCACACAGCAGAAAATGGGGGCTTGCCCTTCACACAAATCACTGGTTGCCCCAACTCCTGGAGAGAAAGCAAAACCACAATGAAATCACGCTAGATTTATCACACACGCACTCTCCCAACTTTTTATAAAATTGACAATTGAATAACAAAAAAAAAACAAAAGCCACAAAGAAAAAAACAAACCAACAAACCTCAACCACACAATTGCCACTGGCAATAAATTCACAACCTTAAATCAACAGAGAAGGAAAAAAATAAAAATAAATTCAAATATTAACAAATTCACAAAGAGCCAACTCAACAGGAACAAAAAAAGATGCATTCATAAACCTTAAAATACAAAAAAAAACAACAACACAGAACACAGTGGCGACTGTTGGTTGGTCATCCAAGACCTGTGAGTGAAGCAATACACAGCAATCAATGGAAACAGCAGCAAGCCAAGCTGATATTCCAAGTGGCCAACACTGCAGTAAACACACTGGTCGCCGCATAAAATAAAACAGCCCTGCAACACACTACTTCTAATTCACAAACTCAAAAACCACCAGTCTGGCAGTTTTAATAAGCACCGTGTCACCGGCTACACAAATCTTCCCACATAGTGATGTAGACATGTGGGGGCGTGTTAGAACGAGCCGTTTTAGGGGGGCGTGGCTGACTCTTAACTTTTATAAAGAATCTCTCTTTGGATTTGAGACTTTAGTCTTTGTGTCACGAATCCGGTCTATGAACTTCCGTTCACTCAGCACCAGAGGTCACCCGCTCACTACATGGACTCTCACACTTCACAGACTGTTACACTATACCCTGCACTACATTTCCCATCATCCATTGCACTGATTGCACACAGCTGTAACCAATCACACGCGCACCTGAAAGCCATTACACACACTATATAACACCTACTCAGATCCTGCTCAAGTCGCCGAGTATTGTTCTGCATTTATCACTCTCCTAGTGTTAGCTGCTTTACCAAGCCATCCCGTGATTCCTGAGTTCGAGTTTAGTCTTGTTCATATTCTGTTTACCCGTGTTTTGATCTTAGCCTGTTTTCTCATCTTGTCTGATCTCTACCTGCCCTGAAGTTTATTGCCTGTCTTGGATCTCTCTCTCGTCTTGTCGTTTGGACTCTGTTTGCCCCTGCCTGGACTATTACCGTGTACCTGGATTATCTCTCTCTGTCTAGCCCTCTGGATGTCATTTGCTGATCGGAGACCCTCGTCTGCTCTTGGATTATTCTTGTGTCTTGCCCGTACCATACCTGTTTGCCATTGTTTTCCCCTGCCTGTGTTCTGACCGTGTTTATAAATAAAGCTTGCACATGGATCCTCACGCCTCACGTCTTGTCTGCCCCGTTACACTTTCCAAATTTACAGATCTTCTTTATGCACCAAGAGCTTGTAACACTCCAAAGAGAAATTGAAATAGCATCATATGACCCCTTTAAACATAGAATGCGGATGCTCTATTCTGTTCTGGATCTTTAGGAGTAAGGAATGGGATGGAGCATCGAATAATTATTTAAGTAGGAATATTTGTGTATATACGTGTGTAAGAACAGGAAAAGCAAAAACAGAGAAGAAATTGATAATAAATAAACCATGACTGCATAACAGCAAAAGTAGGTGGTGATATGCACACAGGATGTAACACGCCAAAAATACTTACTTTATTTAGTGAAATTAAATCATGGCGTCAACAAAAGAGATTTTAGAGATGGATCTTTACGCTTTACTGGGGGTTGAATCGACAGCAACAGAGAAGCATGTGTGTCAGTCTGAGAGCTGCTTTCTGTCAACAAATCAAATATTAATAACCAGGTGTGGAATTATATACAATAATAATAAAATAACAGCATAACGGTATCGTTTCTATCACACGTGGAGGTTATAGAGGTGTCTGGAATACGAGTACATGAAACTGAAGTGTTTACATGTCCGAAACATGCTTAAAACGAACAAATTACTGATTCATTCATTCATTCATTTAGTCTCGGTTACGTTCAATATCTTATTTTTCATCTACAACAGGCTTATAGATGAGTGTTTTATTTATTGTAAAGAAGGTTTTAGACATAAAGACACTCATATCGCCTGTTTTGCTGCTTTACGGATAATATATATGTATAATAATAATAGCCTGGAATGAGAATGAAGTTGTTTTGAGTGTACAATGTCAGTTTAGGAGTGAATGAGCTGAGTTTGTGTTGGTGAGCAGTAGGTGGCGCTGTAGTTCAACAAATGACTGTGTTTTCATTGAAGAAATCACCAGGTCAGAATTACACTTTCCAATTTTCACATTTTTACATGTTTTTTTGTTGAGTATAATTTTTTTTATCAGGCTTTTATGGCTCATAGATGTAATTTTCATAGTCATAATTATGAGATAAAAGTAAAAATTATGATCTAAATAAATTATGAGATAAAAAGTCAATTATCATCACACATTAAATCATAATTTTCAGATAAAAGTCAGAATTATTACGTGAGTCATTTATGAGTTAAAAAGTCAGAATGATCACACATTAAGTCAATTTTGAGGTAAAAAGGCAATTATGATTTTATAAAATAGTCAAGAAAATCTGTAAAAAAAAATGGAACAGTTTATTGAAACGTCATACAAAATATATTTTTTAAATCTCTAAAACTAGTTTGCATATGTGTTTTTTGTTGAGCATCATATTTGCTCCATCAGGCGT